GGGAGTGGGGTGGCGGGGTACCTTGAATCAGAAAAACTCCAAGGGGTCTGTTCCTAGAGGTGAACAGTAGTCTCCCAAGCCTCCCAAGCCCACACCTCACCACCCTAAGCTTTCAAGGCCGGAAAAGGGAGAGGAGGGAAGAGGGCTTTAAGGATGCCCACTAAACCTCCACCCCCAACTTTCAGCGCCAGAGGCAGTGTTCCCTCACACCCACCCTGGAAAGCCGGAATCCGGAGCGACCCCTTCCCCCACCGTCTTCAGTCCCTCCTCCTGCGGCTTCCCCACCGCGGTCCCCTCCCCCCATTCATTACAGCATCGCTCTGGGCGCCAAGACGGATTCAAGCCAGGGACTGCTGCAGTCAGCTCTCCGCCTCTCGGTTCCCGCAGCCTGTGTCTAGGCTCCGCAGCCTCCAGCTGTGCTTAGGACAGTCCCTTTTCCCCCCACCCCGCCCCCGCCATGGCACAATCCCAGGCTCAGGGCCCAGAGGCAGGCGGGCACAGTGGGCGCGGGCGGGGGCCCAGCACAGGAGGCAGGTACAGCGGGGCTGTCCCTCCACACTGGGGATGCCTCGGCTGTGCGGACTGTGGGTGGGAGACGCCTGCCAGCGGCTCGGAGGACGGGCACAGTGCCCCATCCTGGCAGGGGCTGGGGCAGAAGAGGGGGGCTCCCTGACCCGAGGCCAGGAGCTGAGGTCCGGCGGCTGACCGACCGGGAAAGCCCTAAGGAGAGTCTCCCAAGCAGACGGGCCTGGGGGGCTGTGTGTGACATTCAGGGCGAGACTGCGCCTCCGCCGGGTGCGAGACCCCCTCTGTGCGGCTGAGCCGGTCCCCGGCCGCCCGCCCGCCCACCCGACTCCGCGCTTGGGTCCCCTGTGCCCAGGTCGGCTGTGCGTGGCGGTGACACTTTAGGTGCCTGTTCCTGGGTCCCCGGGGAGGGGGGATCTCACTGGTGCCCCCAGGCTGGGCGCCCCCAGCGCCGTCGTTCCGCCAGGTGGGCGCTCCTCTGGGACCCCGGCAGCCGCTCGCGGGTGGCGACCTCGGCCCTCCTGGGTCCGCGCGGGGGCGGGGAGCTCAGTCCCCCTCCCTCTTCCTCTCCCTCTCGCTGCTCGGCCGCCCTGCGCGGGGGCGGGGGCGGGGGCGGGGGCGGAGCGCGCGGGCGGGATCCCCCCGCCTCCCCTTCCCGGTCCCCGGGAAATCCAGCCTCCGTGGCTTGGCCGCCTCCCGCTCCCGCGCCCGCTGCCGCTCGGCGCTCGCTCGGGGCTCCGCAGCCGGCGCGGCCCCTCCGCTGGGGGCTCCGCAGTGCCGGGCCCTGGTCCCTGCCCGCCCGCTCGCCCGCCCAACGCCGCAGCGCCCTCGGCCCGGGCCGCCGGCACCATGTAACCCGGCCGGAGCCCGAGCCGGGCCAGGTAAGCCGTGGGGAGATGAGGGGACGGGGCCGCGCTCGCGGCGCCCTCTGCAGCGCCCCCCAGGCTCGGCCCGGCTGCGGCCCCGGCGCCGCCCACGCCTCGGGCTCCGGCGGCCTCGGCTAGCGGCCCCGGGAAGGGGGAGGGGCTGGGCCTCCTCGGCCGCCCCCGCCCTCGCCCCGGCCTAGCTGCCAGCTGGCCCGACCTGAGGGGCGAGCGGGGGACCACGCGGATCGCGGACCCACTCTCCCGGTCAGGGTCGCGGGGGCCCGCCAGCCCCGGCCCAGCCCTCGCCCGGCTGGAGGCTCGGGTCTGGAAGGGAGTAACCCGCTGGTTGTGGGGGGAAGTCGTGGTGTTGGGGAGATCCGGAGAGAAGTTTCCTCTGCAGGTGTGTGAATGTGAGTGCGTGTTGCTGTGTGTCCGTGCCGAGTGTGTCACTGTGTGGGTCTGTGGGTGATTGTGTGTGCCGGTGAGTGTATGCAGTGTGTGTGTGCGTGTGTCACTGTGGGCGAGACTGTGTGTGCATGTAAGTGGGTGTATGCAGCGTGAGTGTGAAGGGTGGTACTGTGTATGCATCTGTGGACATGTGAGTGAATGACTGTGTTGTCCCCGAATGTGCCTGTGTGTGTCTCTGTGAGTGTGTGTGTGAATGGATGTGTGTGCCGGTGTGACTGTCTCTGTGAGTGGGTCCCGGTATCTGCCCTGTGTGACTGTGTGTGTGTCTGTGTGTGTGTGTGTGTGCGCGCGCGCACTGGCTGTGTGAGAGAGAGTGTATCTGAGCACGGTTCACTCTGAATCACCCACACCTGTGCTTTGTCTCACCCCCCAATCCCCCCATTCCTGGTGGGACATGGGACAGGGAGATGAGACTTTTCTGAGGTTAGATCATACCCCCTTGTCTGGGGACCCTGACCCTTGATTCAGGCAAGAGCTTGGTGGCACTCCCCACCTTGTTCTCCACCTTCACCTACCTCAGGGGGTGCCCTCTGGGATGCTGCTGGTCTTGTCCTTCCTGCACACTGAGGCCCCTGGTGGGTGGGAGGGGGGACCTGGGGTGAGCTGGAGTATGTGCTTGCATGTGCTGCTTCTCCTTTTGGGGACCTGGGAACTTGTGTCATCTCAGTAATACTTCACCCACCGAAGGCCTTTTAGAGCTTGGAGCTGAGGAGGCCAGGTGGAAATCATCAGAGCAGGTGGCACTCTCCCAGACTTCCAAGTCCCAAACCTTCAAGTTCTGGGCCATTGGTTCAGTCCACTGGCTCCTGGTGGGTCCCTACTAAGCTCTTTGAAGTAATAATAATAAAATAATGCCCTCATATTAGTTCAGGGCTTTTGAAAATGCTGTCCTCTGAACTTTTATTTCCCCAACAGCCTTAGGAAACAGGCAGGACACGTATCACGTTAAGCCATTTGAAATTGTCAATATTCAACTGTTTTTATTTAACCTATAAAAACAGCAATTTCCCATGGTTCAACCAAATATAATGCCGATTTACAGATGAGGGTGTTGAGGCTTGAGAAAGGAATTGCATTTCCCACAACCAGACACTGCCAGTCAGCGGTACAGAGAGACTTCAGCCCAGGTCTTTCAGTGACCCAAAGAACTGGGCTGGGCCAAGGTTAGAGAGTGGTGCTTCCTGGTGTGCTCTCTCTGACCCTGGGGGCATTGTCCTCTCCCTCTTCGAAGTATTCCCTGAATGCTGGGGCTACTTCTGCACCCAGCTGCCAATGCCTAAAAGAGAGAGGAGGGGAGAAAAGAGGAGGAGAGGGGAGGGAGAGGCTTCGTGAGTTGGCAGTGAATCAGGGTCTAAAAAGGGAGCTGGGAGGGCTGGGGTGGCAGGTGTTTCTAAAAGGAACATGAACATAGGATGAACGGCCTCAGATGCAGCCCCTACATCTCCCACCCGCCACTGCCCCACTGATCCGGCAGGCAGTGCCCACTGCATTTTGTGCCGGGGGCTCACATCCAAGTAGTGAGCTTGTATGTAACTACAGAATGATGACCAGGAAAGGAACCTTAGAATTGATTTGGTCCAACCTCCTCATTACAGACTAGGGACTCTGAAGCCCAGAGAAGGGAGGGGACTTGCCCAAGGTCACACGACAAATTCATGGGTTCCTAGGCTAATCTTAGACCAGGAACTTTGCAGTCCTCCATGTTGCCTTCTATTCCTGAACTCTCCCCACCCCCATCAGAGCTGAGTACTGGGGATTTTGGAAAAGAAATGAAGACTCAAAAATCCTAAGGCTGTACATCTTTCAACCTGGGACTCCTTGCCAAAGAGAGGGCGCTACAGATGTCGCTGGGGATGGGGATTCCTAGCCACACCCCCCGAGATACACCACGGGCTTGTCTTGATTCCTGCTGGTGAGGGGCTGGAGCTGCTGCAGGCCAGACTCCCAGACTTTCTTGTGTCAGTCCCTGCTTTCAGTGGCTGCCTGACACCTAACATCATCTCTTCCAGCTGATATTGGGGCTTGAGCTGGCTAAGCTTGTTTTCCTTCATCCTACCCAGTTTTCAGTGCATTTCATCTCTAGCTGGATGGACCCTTCCTTACCTTATTGGGTTCCTAAGGGGTAGAGAAACTTCTGAGGCCTGTCTGATTTAGGAAGGGTCTGTAGTTACCCCCAAACCCTTTCTAATGAAATCTTCCAGAAGTGTAGGACAAATGATAAAGGGATTGCCCCCATTTTACAGGTGAGGAGACTGAAATTCAGCAAGGGGCCCCGTATTTGGTTGTTTTTAGTTGTTTTGGGGTGAGGTGATGAAGGGAGCAAATGACAACAAAAGCTTTTGCCTAGAGGAGCTTCCAAAGACCCCTTCTGGTCTTACCATCCCCACGGTCAGGAAACCTTCCCAGATTCTGATTTCATTTCTACTTGGTAGAGTCAAAGCTTTGTCACTCAGTGGGGGTTGGAAGAACAGCTGCGTACCCTCCACTATGCAAGCATTATGTCTTGATTCCCTCTTTATCCACCCCCCGCCCCAGTCTGAAGGCTGCTGGCTCAGCGGGCCTCCTGCCGTCTGGGGAGTCTGGGTTTGAGCTGGGGTGAGGTGATGGCACCATCGTTATGGTAACGAGCTGCCAGCTCATCGTTGCTAATAACTTGTCAGGCCTCTGAGCTCCAAGCAGCATCTCTTCCTCCCAGCCCTTCTTCCCATGTCACAGACAGAAAAAGTGAGGCTTTGAGGGAGGGATCCGGGAATAAGAGAGTTTGGGAAAGTGGGTGGCCTTGTCCCTGGGATTGTAGCTGGAAAGCTGGGGGGAGGTTGTTTGGAGCTGGTTTACACATATGGTTACATAGGCTTGCATATGATTGCATGGGCTGTTTACGTGTGAAAACACTCAGAACATGCTTGAATAAACTTATACATGCTAGCTGACATGTTCATGTGTTTTTATACAGCAGCCAGCCCACAGGCAAACATGCTTCCAAGCATCAGAACATGCTTGTGCCTGAATACCGTCTTTACCATCTGCACATAAGGCACCCAAGAAATCTGGGTTTGTGGGGGTGTCCAGGTATGTGGGTGGGGATCTGATCTTTTTCTGATGCAGCTTCAAAGTGTCTTGTTAACAAAGGGACAGAATGGTCCCAGGGTTCCTTCTTCTTCTTTTCAGTTAAGAGCTCAAGAGTGGAAGTGGGCTGGGGATGGTGTCAGGGGCCCAAGCTCCCAGCTCCCAAAGGCCCCTGCCTCTATGCCCTTTGAGCTCAGGTAGCCCCTGCCCCCCTCACTCTCTGTTCTTTCTCATCCTCTCTTCCTGTGTGTAAATATTAAAGAGCTGAGCCTGCAGGGCTGATGTAGACATGGGGAGAGAATGAAATTAAAAAGGATTCCCTCGCCCCCATCTCGACACCCCCGCCCCGCAGTCCCTCGCTCCTGCTTCTTCCCCTCTCCCCTCTTCCCTCCCCTCACTCAGTGCTTCCACATGTCTCTCCTCCCCCCAGTCCAGATGGGAGCTGGCTCCTTCAGAAAGGGGGCTCAGAACAGGGTGTGGGGAGCTACCTCTCTCTGCCTCCCCCCACCACATCTGCCTGCAGGGCCGGGAGCCCCCATGTGAGTATTTCTTTTATTTTTGGGGTGATGGTTAAGAAGGAAAGTGGTTTTTAGAACCAGCTGTGAGTGGCATTGAGAGGCTCTGGGCTGAAGGAAGGTGGGTGGGGTCCTCTCTCTAGGTTCCTTCAGGGAAGCCCCGTGTCTGGGTTTCTTTTCTCTCTTGGGACATAGAGGGAAGGTGAGGTGGGGTTTGTCAGGTGCCCCCGGTGGATGGGAGCGACAGTGGGAGGGGCAGGGGAGAGGGGCTTCTGTTCTAAAGAGGGTGTGTGGCGGGGTAAGCCTGTTTCTTCCTGGCATCCTGGGTTTCTCGTTACCGGGACCGGGAGTGTCGCTGGGAACTGTCCCGGGTGCTGAATAGGACTCGGCGGAGATTTGTTCTTTTAGAGCTGTCCCTAGTGCTGAATGGGGCTTCGTTCGGTCCCGATGGTGGAAAGGCGGTGGGCAGTGCGGAGGGCTCACTAGAAAAATTCTCCCAGATGACCCATTTTCTAAGGGCAGAATCCCTGGATCGAAATATGGATTTATGGTTCTCCCTATGGTTTAGGTGTCACAGTTGTTAGTGGTATTTAGGAGCCCTTCCCCGAAGGGGTCCCTCTCCCTTTTTGTTCCTCCTCTCCCTTCCAAAACCATCCTACTGTTAGTGTGGGGGTCGAGGTGGAGAATAATATTGTGCCTGTGAGATCTCATCTCCTGGGAACGTTTTTTAGTGCAACAAGCTCAGAGGTATTGATACCAGCCTTTTACCTACTGGGTCCCAGAAGTTAAGTCTCAAGGTGGTTCTGGATTAAGAGAGCTTGGATCTTTCTGGTTAGGTGTAAGGTGGTTAGAGCTCAGGAGTTCAGGATAACTTGATTGACCACTTGATATTCCCTTGCCCATCATACTTTGGGATTTTGGACAGGGGACACTGAAATATTCTACAAGCCTGTCTTCTGTTCTGCCCATTTCGAAACCTAGCTCAGAGCAGCATTTGGGAGAGACTTTTGTTGGGGAGGAAGATTTTTAAGCAAATGATTCAAGGAGTGGGTGGGGTTGTTCAGTGCCACGGAGAAGAGAAGGAGGAGGCTACTGGAGACAGGGCAGTGGGAAAAGAGGAAGATCTGGGGGAGTAAAAAATATTCAAATGGAGGGATGAGGTCTGGGCTTCAGTCTTTAGTTTTCTTGGATATCTTTCTCCTTATGGCTTTGAGTCAGGGTCATTTCAAATACCTGTATTCTTATGGATTGTCTTTGTAACCATGAAGAGAATAGAGCAAGAGTTATTTCTCAAGGTCCCTTCCCTTGTCATCCCAGGGGGATGAGAGCCAAATGTCAGGACATGCAGATGAGTTTGTGGGGTAATAACAGGCAGGAGGGGTTGATGGTGGCTTCACCTCCCATCCCCAAGAGCACAATCAGATATTCAAATGGGATCCTTCCTGTAGGGAGAGGAATGAGACAGTTTCCAGATAATCCTGGGCAAAAATTGGGTGTGGCAGGGAGTTCAAGAAAAGGGAGAGGTATCTAGGGACCTCAAACTGAACTAGTTATCCCTTCCCAAATGTGACTTCTAGTTCATAAGGAGCCCCTCACCCATCATGTTTTTGATGTAACTCATCAAGATGATTCCTGCCTTCTCTAGCTGCTTGGGAGGAGCTGAGTTTTCCTCTGCTGTGGGTGCTGGGAGGTGGTGGGTGTGGGTGTGGGTGCCTGTTTGGGGAGGGGAGGTGTTTGTGCTCCACTCGGCTCCCTTGGTTACATAACAGCTTTGATAAGACTTTACTTTGGAGCTGCTGCTACTGCCTGAAGCAGTCACCCCTCCACCCCCACATGAAATGCTAGATGTCCACCCCCTTTTCCCTGGCCCCTTGGAGAGTCCTGCTCTTCCTGATCCACTGTTCCAGCAGCTGCTTCCCTGCCAGGAGGTGTCTGCAGCTTGCCTCCCTGCTCTCTTCCAAGCTCCTGTTTTTTAAAATACTTGCTTCTTTTGTTATTTGAGCCTAGTTTACCCTCTTTACATTTTTCAGCCTCCTGGTCTACCTTCTCCCTTGGCAGGGCCCACAGGCTGGGAAGGGAGGGGTTCACTGAACATGAAGCTGCCCTCTAGGGAAGAAAAGAGGTATCCTAAGAGGTTTTAGTACCTACAGTTAATTTCTTTACTGTTTCTTCCTCTGCCTCAATAACTGTTTTGGAGTTTGAGAGTGTTAGACCTTGAGGTACTGGGAGGAAGGACTTTGGCCTTGATATTTTCTCTTTCTTTTCTTTCATTCTTTCTTATTTAGAGTTAAAGGGTTGCACATATGAAGGGATTGTCTCCTGGGTTTGAAGAGGTACACCTACTTTATTGTTACTCCTACCCAGGTTTTCTGAGAAAATATTCGTTTCTCTAGGCATGGGATGAGGGGATGACAGAGCCCTTTTTAAAAAATGACATTTTTTTCCCTGAGAGTGGGTGGGGATGGGATGTGTCCAGGAGTGGGTATATACCATTGATAACAGGACCAGCTTTCCAAATAGAGAAGTGGGAGACTAACAAGAGGAGAGAGCAAATGCAAACTTGTAATATACTTGAAGAGAATATGAACTTTGTGGACAGGATAGAAGCCAGGGGAGGGGCTGGATATCTCTGCAGGACCTGGGACTGCAGTACATATGCATGTGTATTTCTGCCTGTGAGTGGGTATATGACTGTGTATACGCACATAAGTATGTGTGAGTATGCTGTGTATATGTGTATAAGCACATTTATTTACATAAGTGTGGATGTGTATGTATATATGTGTGTATGACTATGCATTCATGGATATATGTCAACGTGAAGAAAATTACTGAATTAAACCTGTGTGTGTGTGTGTGTGTGTGTGTGTGTGTGTGTGTGTGTGGTGTGCTTACCCAGTAATGCATATATGTGAGTTTAAGCATGCATGTGAGCATGTATTTGGGGCATGCATATATATACCATATTAACCACATATGAATATATGTATTTAAGTTGAGTCAAACGTGAATAAATTTAAGAAAGAGAGAGACAGATTCTCACTGAACGTTGGGCTACCCAAAAGTGTTTTCCCATTAGCTTGAACTGGATAACCCTACTACCTGGAGCTCTTCTCCAGAAAGTAGGCTCCCTGAGGTCTCTCAAATTCTCATGTCTGTGGGAGCCAGCTGTTCTCTATCATATGAAAGGGGTTTGCTGAGGGAAAACATAGAAGGCCTTGGGGATAGATGAGTAAGAAATCCAGGCTCCAGGCTGTTCAGTTGCTGTGGTGCTTAGGGCTGTATGTGGGGAAAGAGGATTGGGGCTTTAACATTAACATTGCTGTAGAGTTTTCAAAATTCAACAAATTGGGCTTAGTGGATGAAAGGGGTAGTGAGTAAAAGGGGGGCCAAAGTGCATGCATAAGCCTCATACATGTGACAATGCACATGTACAGGTATATGTGCATATTACTTGTCTGTGCCATCATATGCATATATCAACATAGGTGCACTTTTTAACGTGTACATACATTAACAAATCTACAGGAATGTTTGTACCAACATGGGGATTTGTCAGCATGCACATGCATGCTAACACGTATACATGTGAACATAATATACAGAAATATGTGGGCATATGCTAACACTTGTCTGATTACAACCCATGGCCATATATATGTGCATCTCACTCATCCAGGTTGACAGTAGCCTGCAAACATACCCTTCCCCATCATACATGCCTCACCCAGTGCAGCCATTCATTCAACCAGTGTTTATTTTATGCCTCTAATGTGCCACATGTTGTGTTGGGCACTAGGGATGGTCGTTGACTCAGATAACTTGCAATCTTGAGAGGGTGAAGGACCTGGAACCAAATAAGGAGAGGGTTAGGGAAAGTAGACACACGTAAGTGTTCATTGGAGGGAGTGGGGACCTGAAGAGAGGTAGGTTGGCTCTGGAGTGGGGAAGGGAAAGGTTTGGTAAAGGATTCATAGAAGGGGAGCCTTTTGAGTTGAAGCTTAAAAGTTGAACAGGTGCTTACCAGGTGAGCAACTGTGGGAACAGGTATTTCAGTGACCGAAAATGTTCCAGATGGTCTTCTTACTTCCACCCTTGCCAGCCCCACCTCCACAGACTCTTCCCCAAAAGGCGGCCAGAGTAAAATGAGGTCTTGACTTTCCAGTGGCTTTCCATCTCACTCAGAGTGAAACTCAAACTGTCATGAGTCCTGAGTGACATGAGTTCTGTGTGTGCAAAGCCCCCTATTACTTCCTAGATCTCAGGGCCACTCCTACTGTGGGCTTCCTTTCTGTTCCATAAAAAGCACAGTTCCACCTGGAGGCAATTGTGCTTGCTTTCCCCCTCATCCAGAAATGCTCTTCCCCCAGATATCTAGGCAACTCACTTCCTCACTGTATCTAAGTCTTTGCTCAAAAGTCACATTTTTAGAAAGACCACCCCAATAGTCTGTCTTAAATAGCCCCTTGACATTCTATCTCCTCACTCCATTATTATTAATATTTTTATCTCAGTACTTGACACCACCATCATTTCCTAGATTTGGTTATCATCCCTCTTTTTCCACTGGAATATAAACTTCATGAGCATGGGAGCTTCATCTGTTTTGTTCATTGCTGTATCTACAGTGTCCAGAAGAGTATTCAGCTTGGAGTAGGAACTCGATACATATTTGTTGAATAAAGAAATTTTAGATAGCTGGCAGCCAGTGGGGAGAAAGGATCGAGGTGGAATAAGATGCAAGGCAGGGAGACCAGTTAGGAACCTGTTGTCATAGCTTTGGTGAGCAGTTAGGATGAGAGTGGCCTGACGTAGAACACCAGCAGTGGGGGTGGAGAAAAGGAGACACAATGTACAAACACATGCATGCACAAATATACATGCATGTGCTTGTACTTTAATCACATCTGCTATTTTAGTAGGGGAAGGCCAAGGAGGAAAGTAAAAGTGTCTTTATGTGTATATGCGGTATGTATGTCATGAACAACTCATGACAAGCTGGATACCTTCCAACTAATGCTGAC